AAACAGAAATATGACTTACCATAATGGTTTAGTGCCAAGATTTTCCTTTGATTTTTGCACAGAAAATCTTGGTTAGTTTATTTGGGGTTTACAGGGATTTTGCAAAATAATCAGTTAATCAGCAAGAAATGACATAGTGAAATTGGTCAGACAAACAAATACAATGTCGTGATTAACAGTAAGTTCCGTTGTGTGAGTTTTAGCTATGTACATGTTCCTGCTCCTGTTTGCCTTTCCATGTTCCTGCAATACTGTAAATATACTTTTTTAAAAATTTTATTTGATTTTGCCATTAGCAGAAACACGTACATTATCAGATACGCTTTATCCAGATTTGTCAAGAGCAATGGGACATTTAAGCAGGACGGAGGAGCCAACACAGAGGTGAGGGGCTCTGTGTCAAGGAAAGGGACTGATGACCAGGTCTCAGAGCAGACCAGGTCATGAAGAAAAGCACAGCCTGATGTGAGTGCTCTTGGAGGTTTGCTATATTTCTGTAGCTTTGCTAAACTCCCTTTGCAGTATACATTATTTATATCTTCTCTTCTCTGTCTTCTGTACCATCCCTGCTTCCCCCTTCTCTTGCTATCACCACCCACTCTTGTTTTCCTTCTGGCTACCTCTCTTCTCTTAATTAATCAGGAAAAGAAGCTGTTTCTGCCAGCTTTGCTTTGCTATTGAGTAGTGGTAGGAGTTCAAAGAACAAGGTTAGGCCTGCACCTGCTGCTTGTTCTTTGATGCCCTGTTGCGTGAAACAATTTCCTTCAGAAGTTCCAACAATGTACTAATTAACAAAGGAAAAGACAGGGAGAAACGAGACAAAGACTGTGGGAGGAATGAGGTGAGTAACAACTGAAAGATGCCAGAGGAAAGCAGGGGAAAGAAGGAATTAGAAAGGGGGAGCTGGGATAGAAACAGAAAAAAGGAGAGGGACAAACAATAAAGGAAAGTAAAAAAAAAAAAAAACACACAAAAAAAAAAAAAGCAGCAGAAATCAGAGGATGGGGAACTGGAATAAAGAGTGCATAAAAAGAAATTATTTAAAGTTTCCTTTAGATTACAGTATGCAATTCTTACAGAGCAACCCTGAGGACAGTGAGTACCTCTGTTAGAGAGATCTGTACATGGTATCAGTTCTCCCCTAATGCAGTAAGGAAATTCACCGGAGAGGGATGGCATTCCTATATGGAATAACAGAACAATGCTCCCCAGTCTGGACTCTAAGCCCAACATCGTTATTTAGATATAATGAGAGATAAGTTGCTTAAAAATGCAATCAGTATGAGCCTGGAATTACTCTCACTGTTGTCAAAGAAAGGATAATGAACTGTAAGTGGGAGTCCCACAATGCCGGGTCAGAGTAGACACCAAAACAGTCACAAGCAAACTCTGTGATGTAAAGGCTTGGACTTGGAAGTACATGGCTGGTGGCAGGGCTGGCACAGAGCAAGGACACATCAGCAGTGGAGAAGAAGTGACAGCTCACTGATACTTCTTGAAACAAAGGAGAGGTCTTCCCTCTTCAGTGCGTGTGGTAGAACAAGCTGCACAAAATGAGGAGTCTCCTGGCAGCCTCTGAGGGCGGTCCAGTACTGCTGAGTCCAGTGCTGAAGGCTTCGAGCACACCAAGTGCTGTGAACACATGCTGAAGCATCATGGCCACCTCAACCTAGAAACTTAGAACTTCCATATCATACCTGCCACAGCTCTTCATCTATTAAATGCTGCTACACACTGACCGCCTGGAAACTGCAGACTGTGGAAGTGGCATTTGTTAGGCAAGTAATGTATACCTAAATTGAGATCGAGAGGCTTGGGACTTTCTTTCTCTTTGTCTCATCTCAAAGATAAGACATCAAGTGAGCTAACCAAGCTTGTCATGCCACACAGCACAGGGATCTGGGACCTCAAACATTTGCTGGTTCCTGCAGCAAAGCTCCAAGGGCTTAAGTGTGATGTAGGTAAGACCACTCCTTCACTGTCATTTCCAAGACTTCCAGTATGGGCTGCTGTGCTGCACAGCATTAACTCTGATTATCCATCTGCTACTGTGAAACATGTATCTGAAAACAAACTGGTTACCAAATTCATCTACAGAGTGAGGTAGAACAAGGGGGCATAGCTTCACTGAAACCACTGGGTTTTCTTTTGCTCTTACCAGTATTAAATTTAATCCATTTACTCAGTTTCAGGACTGTTAGATTGAACTAACAAGCCATCAATCCTGCTAAATGCAATTTCTGTGTGAGACATGTAAGAAGAGTAACTAAGTAAAAACACCCTGAGTTAAGTACACTAGCATGAAAGTGCATTATTACTCAGGGAAATTCTCTGTCACTCTGTAGAATTCTGTTATTTAGGAAATGAAACCTGTTACAAGAAGCTCATGATAGAAATACTGTCACACTTTTCTAGTGTGACAGCGCAAAATGCTGCTTTCTCCTTTGCAGCAAAGCCAGTGTCATGGATTCTCTCACAACCATACAGTTTCTGCCCTGGTTTTACACAGAGCAGTAAGCATCATCACATCTTTGTATACACTCTAATACCTGAGAAATACACCATGAGGATTTTTATGAGAAATGGAGAGTAAGAGACAATGTAGTCTTTCAGAAAATAAACTGATCAGTATAATGAATCCAGGGGAGGGCCACAAAGATGACTGGAGGGATCGAGCACCTCTCCGTTGAAAGTTGCTTGGGAGAGTTGGGGCTGTTCAGCCTGGAGAAGGCTCTGCGGAGACCTCACAGCAGCCTTCCAGTACCTAAAGGGAGCCTACAAAAGGCTGGAGAGGAAGTTTTTATGAGGCCTGTAGTGACAGGAGAAGGGGAAATGGCCTTAAATTGAAATACAATAGGTTTAGATTAGATGTTAGGAAGAAATTCTTTCCTGTGAGGGTGGTGAAGCACTAGAATGTGTTGCCCTGAGAAGTTGTGGATACTCTCTCTTTGAAAGTGCTCAAGGGCAGTTTGGATGGGTCTTTGAGTGATCTGGTCTAGTGGAAGTTCCCTGCCCATGGCAGGAGAATAAGATGATCTTTAAGGTCCCTTTTGACTCAACCATTCAATGACTCTATGATATACTGAAACAAGCCAGGAAAAAAACTCCTGCAGGTTTCAGAATAAAAAATTATAATGTGAAAAGGAGGCTATTGTAAAAAAGATATATGAAGTACAAGGAAAGTAAAGGGGAATGCAGAATTTCCTTCACACTCAAGAAACTGGACAAGGGGTGTGCTACAGATGTCATTTATCTGGACTTCTGTAAAGCCTGTAAAAGCCCACAACATCCTTTTCTCTTAATTGGAGAGAGATAATTTAAGGGGTAGGCTGTGAGATGGATAAGAAAGTGGTTGGATGGTTGCGTCCAGAGGGTGGAGGTCAACGGCTCCTGATGAACATCAGTGGTAAGTGGTATCCCTCAGAGGTCCATATTGGGATCAGCACTGTTTAATATCTTCATCAATGACATAGACATAATGCACCTCCAGCAAATTTGCAGATGACACTAAGCTGAGAAGTGTGGTCAACACACCTGGAGGATGGGATTCCATCCAGAGGGACCTGGACAAGCATGAGAAGTGGGCATATGGGAATCTCCTGATGTTTATTGAGACCAAGTACAAGGTACTTCATCTGGGTTGGGACAACCACCCCTACCAACACAGGCTGGGGATGAACAGATCCAGAGCAGCCCTGCTGGGAGGGACTTGGGGGTGTTGGTGGCCCTTCTCTGGACTCATTCCTGCAGGTCCCTGTCCTTCCTGTGCTGGAACCCCAGAGTTGGATGCAGTGTTCCTTCCAGGCAAGGTCTCACCAGAGCAGAGGGGCAGAATCCTCTCCCTCCCCTGCTGTCCACACTGCTCTGGATGCAGCCCAGGACACATTTGGCTCTCTGGGCTTGGAGTGCCCATGGCTGGGTCATGTCCAGCCTCTCACCCACCAACACCCCAAAGTCCCTCCCAGCAGGGCTGCTCTGGATCTGTTCATCCCCAGCTGACAGCACCAAAGGACAGGCAGACACCTGGTCTCAGCTTTCATGTGAGCAGGTCAGCCTTGGCCAGGGGCCACTTTCCCCACATCTCCCCGCACTAAGCCAGAGGGACCAGTGGGCAGCGCCTCAGCTCACAGCAGATGTCCAAACACACCACCCACATCACCTCCCTGCCCTCAGCCGTGGGCTTCATGGATGCCCAAACAAGGGTTAAAATCCAGGCTGCATTGGGAAGGACATGTTGAGGGAAGTGATCCTGCCCCTCTGCTCAGCCCTGGTGAGGCCACATCAGGAGTGCTGTGCCCAGCTCTGGGCTCCTCAGGGCAGGAGCTCCTGGAGCAGGTCCAGTGGAGGGCAGCAAAGATGAGTAAGGGATTGGAGCATCTCTTGTGAGGAAAGGCTGAGGGAGCTGGGCCTGTTCAGCATTGAGAAGAGATGTCTGAGAGGGGACAATCCAAATCTATCAGAATCTGCAGGGAGGGTGTCAGGGGATGGAGTCAGGTTCTTCTCAGGGGTGCCAAGCAATAGGAAAAGGGACAACGGCCAGAAACTGATGCACAGGAAGTTCCACCGCAGAGTGGAAGGAGGAAGAACTTCTTTACTGTGTAGGTGACCACACTCCAGAACAGACTGTCCAGAGAGGCTGTGGAGTCTCCATCACCGGAGATACTCAGGAACTGTCTGGACACAATCCTACGCCCTGTGCTCTAGGAAGACCGTGCTCGAGCAGGGGGTTGGACCCGATGACCGCGATGGTCGCTTACAGTCGTTCCGTGCCTCCGGGAGCGACACTCGCCGCGCCCCGGCCGCCGCCAGCCCGCCCCCGGCGCGCCCTGGCCGGCGCGGCTCCGAGCGGGGCGGGGCGGGCCGGGCCGGGCCGGGTGTTGTTGTTGTTGTTCCTGC